GCTGAACCACCATACTTGAGAATGTTGGAGCAGAACCTGCAGGAGGCAGGTTCAAGGCGACAGTGTTCGGCCCTTCACAAGCCTCGGGTAGGGGAATACTAGCAGGAATAGAGTTCCGAGAAAAGGGAGACGGTGCTCGTTGGACATTAATGTTGGCTGGTGAGGAGGAGGACGATCTGTATGACTGCAGATGCGGGGCTGGAGCACGTACTCCCTGATACCCATATGGCGTAGCAGGTGATGGAGATCCCGGAGATTGGTTCGTGTTTGTGATTACAGGCGGCAGCCTTGACTGATGAGGTACTGATGAGAAACGTTGAGCAGGGATGGGAGAAACGGTAGGCTGAGATTGTGGCATATGGACTAATGGAAGAGGGAAAGGAGGGACGCGAGGAACGCTCAGATGAAATTGCGGAGGAGGGACTAAAGGACGAGGGAAATGAGGGACAGGAGGAACTGGCAGATGAATAACGGAAGAGACGGTCAATTGAGATCGTGGAGGAGCCATTGATGTGACCGAGGGGCGAGAAGGGGCAGCAGGATTATTCCTCTGTGCTTGGGCATGTGTGAGTTGCCGTGTAAGTAGATGTACCACACCAGAGTTTGTATCTGCACATATAGAAAAGTAATGGGTTCATGTCAAAAGAAACATATATGCACATGAAGTAACTGCACCAAAGTTCCTTGACAGCATGATATACGAGTAATTTTCTACTATTGAAGAATTTGTAGCATTTGCAGCCGAGACCTTACCTACACATCTTACTTTTTTCCTTTTTCTTTTTTCAATATTCCAAATCCATGGTGGAAATAAGGTTCACTTACCCTTTGAAGTTGCCGTTATAGAAGTAGTTGGTTCCGAACATATAGACTTGAAAGCATCTACCAAGTGCTTGTTCATGATGATTAGATTCTTATAGGTTTCCAACTCCTTTGCTCTGGCCTGGAACTTGGTGTCTTCTTCATGGAATTTAATGTCATACTCACGCCGTAACTCAACCATCTTAATTTCAAATTCAGCCATCTTAATTTCAAATTCAGTCTTCAACTGTGTTTTCTGCATATAGAAGCATTATGGCAATGAGCAGAGAGATAAGAAAACCAAGACCAAAATTGAGAATAGAAAAAACTTAACTGTATCTTCATGGAATTTCCCATTTGTCTCCGCTTCTCTGTGTATCTTCTCTATCTCGTATTGAAACGGGTCCCCAAGCAGCGGTAGGGGCATCTGCAAAGCAGCTAGACCGGAGCTCTGTGGTATATGATCGGTGAAGGTCATCGATCTGCCTTCAGTGGTAGCTGGCTGGTACGCTGCAACACCTGCTGAAAGCTCCACTATACCTTCCTGGACAAGTTCTACAAGGTTCTCTGCATGATGGAACAAAGTCTCGGGATTTTGGGAAACAACTCTGTTGCTTGAATTGCATGGAGATTCAGCTACTTCCATTTGACGAGGATCTGGTTCAGCTATGTAATGCTCAACTACTTCCACTTCATGATGATCTGGTTCAGCTATGGCAGGCTCAGCCAGTTCCATTTGACGAGGATCTCGTTCAGCAACGGAAGGCTCAGCCACTTCCACTTCAAGAGGATCTGGTTCAGCTATGGAAGGCTCAGCCACTTTCACTTGAGGAGTATCTGGTTCAGCAACGGAAGGCTCAGCCACTTCCACTTGAAGAGTATCTGGTTCAGCTACGGAAGCCTCAGCTACTTCCACTTCATGAGGATCTGGTTCAGCTATGGAAGGCTCAGCTGCTTCTTTGATATTTTGGCTCTCAGTGTTTGGTGCGGCGTCTTGTTCAGTTCCAGCCGGTGAAAATGGAGGTGGACACATATCATGAGCAGTCTGTCCAAGAAAATGAAAAAATTCATCAGCAGAACATGTATCTGCTTCAATACCCACCTTTTTTTCCTGCAGAAATCTCAAAATGAAGATGATAGATATCTAGGATTTCAAACCAGGAGAAGAGAAAAGGTGACATAGAGGCAGAAAGAAAGTACTTGATCTGGTATGGCAGAACCGCCAGACTCTACTCCAGGGACAGGGTGCTCCAAAGGCCACGCCAACTCTCCTGGAGACTCGTGATTGGGAGAACAAGTTTCGCCGTTCCACATGACCAAGGAGGGAGCAGAGTCGGTATTCAAATTTCTTGCTTCATTATTTTCTTCCAAAAGCAAAGCTTGCACTCTATTCAAAGGCAGATCATCCGAGACACCATTTTCTAGAGGCTGAGACATCTCCAGCACCCGCAAGGTAACATCTTCATTAGGTACTGGTCGCGTCACTTCATCAAAAACCTGATCTTCAGACAAAAGTACATTCGAGGCTGCAACTTTCTCTTGACAGTCAACATCAGAACAAATCTCAGGATCAGTAACTGAAGTAGGTTCACTAGACCTGCTCTCAACCGCGGTATCCTCTTGACCATTTCTCACCATTTCAGGGACATCAAGTTGAGAGTTATCAGCCATGACGGTTCCTATCTCGTTCTGGGATTTTGCCAAAGGCTCATTGGCCTCTTGCCATTCCTCATATCCTCCGCTCACATCACCAGCAAGGTCATTATGTGTTCCAGCCACATCGGGAGCATTTTCAGAAGTGATTGATGGAATTACTCCACCGAGTAAATCTTCTGTCCATCTCCCCATTCGTTTAATCTGATCAGCTTCATATTCATCCAACTTCTTCCTTTCAGCCTCGTGCCTCTCCTCTAGATTCTTTAGGCTTTCATCCATCTGGCTTTTGAGCTGATCAAACTTCCTCTTGAAATCACGGTCCATTGCTTTAAGCTCACCTATCTTACTTGGACTTCCGGCCCTCCACGCGATATTGATAACTAGTGCCTTTGCTTTTTTGTTTTTTTCCAAGTCGCTCTTCGCCTTTTCATAGTTTCTTGCCAGCTCCATCTTTTCTTCCTCATGCCTTGCCTGAAGCTTTTTGGATTGCTTACTCCATTTCTTTACAATGTCTTTGGCACTCTTGTCAACATCTCTCCTCAGTGAATCATAATCAGTACCTCTCAGCTCAGACAGGCATGCTTGACTCTCGGAAGCACACGCTTTTCCAGTATTCTTTTCTTGGAGAAGCATTTCTTGTGACTTATTTTCTTCCACTTGATTCCTACTGGTACATTCCACTGGTTGTTCAGAATTTTCTGGAAGGAAGTCCAACATTGAACCCCTGTGGCTCTTCAAGAATTTACTCCTCAAACAGCACAACATTGAATAGATAAAATCAACAACTTCCCTTGAACAACCGTATGCTAGATGATCTTTAGCAAGAGCCAGAGTTTCACGGCGGTTAAGTTGTTGCTTTTGAGATGTGGCTGCGACCCAACACTGACATTCCAAAAGATTTCATAATCAGCATGAGAAATAAGCACAACATATCAGAATCAAATTCCAAACAAGAATACTTTGAAGTTCTTGAAGACACACAATTAGCTACAGCAGCCTGACTTCCAGCGTGTCCTAGGTGACCAACTAAGTCCTTGATTTTGTACCATGCAGGAAGAGTTCTAGTCAATTGGTCAATGATACAAGAAGGCGAGCTTTTTTCCCAGGTGCCTCAGCACCGAGATTTCAACACTTACTTCTTTTTTTAGATCTTTTCCTGATCAATGTTGTTGGGATAATTGGTCATCAGGAAAAGTTTTGTCAAAACTTAAAGTGACGAGTATGCAAAACAAAGTCATATCAGGAAGGAACAAACACATAAATATCCAAGAGTAATACCATACCACGGCTATCTGGAAAGCCTGCAATTCTGTTGTTTGTTCTTTGCAGACACGATGGTTACTGATGACATATTCAAGAAAATTCTCAGCAACACTCGTCACATCTGCCTGAAAAAAAAAGTCAACCAATAATGCATGCCATAATTAATGACCATTCCTCAACGGAACTTCGATAGGCTTAGTCATCATGGACATAAAGTAGAGATATAGGATACAGTAAACAAAACGCATGCCTTACCAACAGCTCTCAGATAGGAAAAAAAAAATTTGATATAGTAGACTAGCTTATATAAAAGAGACAATGCATATCTCTTGACCTGTCCCTAGGACATGAGCTACATAAATACCTAACTGTATTCTCACAGTTCTCACAAAAGCAAGAGTACATTTTAATAGGAGAAAAAAATGCAATCACAAGAAAATTACATATGTTTTAATGCAATAAAATAGGATTAAGAAGAAAATTTTGATGATCGCTATTCTGCAAATCATACAGGCTAGTTTACCATCATAGAAAAGCCACTTACCGAAAGATGTAAAACTTGGAAAAGTTTTGCCATCTCCAGCTTTAGAGCAGCATGGAGACCTTTCTGTGCCTCGTAGAGTCCTTTCCCGCCATCATTGCCGGCTATATCCTCTGGGATTTCAGAGATGTTACCGCCCGAAGAATAAAATCCAACAGCATCATTCACGTGCAACATGTTATCAATACTAGAAGCAGATCTGGGTGATTCCAAAGCCCCTGCAGAAGAAACATGTTTCAGCCCAAAGGCATTTTCTTCCTCATGACGCGCTGGGGGATCAAATATATAAGCGGCAGCCTTCTTACACTTCTCTGCAACTCTCACATTTGCAACTCTATCACTAGTTTCAGAATCCTCAAAATAACTTGCCCTTTTCCGGATTCTTTGCTGTGAAACTGAACAGTATCTCCATGTTGGACTCCTTTGATTCAACAATTTCGACCAAAATATGTTTGGACTATCCTCATCTGACAGCTTAACCTTCTCTTCACCAAATAATGCTGAATCAGTATGGTAAATTCCCTTAACATACTTGGCTTCCAAGATTAGATAACGCTTGTCTTTCTTCTTGTCGCCACTTCTGGGATAAAGTACAGACAAAATCTCATCAATCACACCTTCAACTATAGATCGCTCAAAAAGCACTCCTGATTCTGAGGTTTGATTGCTGTGAAAATGCTCTAGCTTATCAAATAAATAGGACGAACCCCACATGAGCAGCGCATGAATAACAAGACGGCTTGGGTTCTCTGCAACATGCTTATTCTGTCTAGCTAGAAGTAGAGCCTTTTCTTCAACAGTACATGATGTGTACAATCGGAATATTTTAGTTCTTTCTGACTGTGACTCGATCTTGATCTTCTCTATGAACCTTAGATCTTGCACTGGATTCCAGCTGCTATCAAAAAGAATAAAAGCTTCAACTGACGAAAGTTTAACAGTGTTTGAGCAGGCACGTGTTTCCAACAGTAGCACAAATCTTTCACTTTCTTTGTTGAATTTGTTCATAGAGCATCGTTTCTTTGAAGGCGAAACATTATGATCTATACGCCCAAAAGATGGTTCTCCAAATCTCTGACGCATAAACAGGTCAAGAAGATCACCCGCCAAACCCTGTTGACAGCTTAAAGATGAGGCATATATGAGAGGTCATGCAGAAAAACCAAAAAGAAGGAAAAACATTAGAATTCATAATAACATAAGAACTAGATTTATGATTCGTCATCATACAAAATTTTAATCCATCCAAATCCCACCCATGGAACAAACTCTGAGCTTTGAAACGTACGTATAGAGTTACATTAAGTGTTAAAATGCATTAAATTTCATACATCATAGATATCAGAAAACTAACACATAAAATCTATGCACCTGGAAGAAGACAACCACTTTCGAACCTTTCCTCTTTATCTCAGTCAGCATTGCGTCAAGTAGCCGTAATTTCCCACTTGCTTTGATTTCTACGTCTAATATTTCGCCTACCTTGAGATTCTTGATGACCAGCGAGCGCACCGATTCATCCACATGATATGGATGGTCGCAGGTCTGTCAATAAGTTGCAGAGATATCACAGAAAGGTGTCTAATCATAGACTCGTGTTATCTATCACACATCAACCAAATCTAAAAAGTTGCACAAGGGGTAAACATACCCTGGACAATCCATTTACCGTTCAATTTCTACCTGTTAGGGGTAAACTCATAGCCACTAGACCAACACAACTTGCTAAATCAAAAATCAATCCAAAAGTTGCATAATGCATCACAAGGTTTATGCCAGGCTCATAAGTAAAACACCAGGGCAAGAGAACAAAGAATATTCAGGATGGTCTAATAAAACAGCAATGCTGCAACCACCAGATGCAATGCTATCTAACTTTCTTTTCTCTTTCCTATTCTGTTAACTGTAGATTCATGGCACATGTCAGTTTAGAACGAATATGTTTATATCAACTGACCTTCCTGGCAGAAATAAGAATGTTATGCAACTCTCTGACGGGATCATTCTTCGACAACGAACAGAGAGACAACGAATTGGACAGCAGAATCGCACAGTATTGCTCTAGCTGTATATCTGATATCTGCACAGGCACCCAGTACTCAGGATAGCTCGATGAATCTGCTTTGTAATCATGTGATTCATCTTGTTGAATAATTTGTTCATTAGTCTCCCCAAAGTCTTTGCTTGCAGCAGGTTCAGATTCCCCCTGATCCTAATCCAGTGTGTAACAAAATTTTGTAACTTAGAATTAAAAAGTACATGCGTTAAATTACTAACCAAGGGAGCAAATTTAGTGACTACTGACAGCTGAAATGGCCAAGACGACATATTCTTCTTGAATCATTGCAATTATTAAAAAAAATGACCTTGAAACTAGTGTAAATTTAGATTCTCCTTAGTTGAAATAAATCAAAGTCCACTACGTGAAGGGTGTCCAAAGGCTTTCAATTAAAAATTGATCGAATATAAAAAAAACCAACCTGTGTCGTGCAATCATCAAATTCCTGATCAGGCTTAGTACCGCAGGTGCAATTCGCCAGGTTTGCTGAATCGTTGTTGACCCTTCAGAGAGTTGCCTTAAATTACTAACCAGTATGTAACTTGTCCAACAAATTTCTACCCTAGAAGGCACATTGTTCAACTGAAACGCATAACTTGAACAATATATTATATATTAGGGCATCTGTTGTATAAAGCAGTAAACAAATCAACAATCCCTATAAATATCATACTTACTTATGCCTTTTCTGAAACATGTTGCACATTTGGGGATGATCATCATTTTTGCACTCAGATGTTGATGGAATGGTCCCTTCATGACTCATATTGCAGTCATCTCCATTAACAACCATGGCAGGAGTATCTGGCACTGCCTCTGCTCTGTCCCTTTTCCGTTTCAAAGATGAATCTGCATCCTTTCGTGCAACAGCTAGATCAGCTACCAGCTTTTGGGGTTCTGGATTCTCTAGTTTTTTACCTTCCAAGCCAACTTTTAAAGCACCAACATTTTCATCATCTGCTATGCACGAGGTAACAGTTACTCCTACTTCCTCGGCATTTGGAGAAGTGGTCACTTCTTCCACATGGTCAATCTCCTGGAACGAGGGGGGAGAGAGAGATACTGCTTGCTCTAGATGATCATCATGAGTAACTTGTGCGAAGGTTTCTGCCATATCCTTTCCATTGTTTCGATCAAACTCATTGCCATCATCAGGGTATGTGTCATTATCTTTGCTTCCATTTTGATCAGCTGTAAAGAAATAAGAACGCGTAAGAACAGCAATTTGTTCACAAGACAATCTCATCGATTTGGAAAATAGAAGAAAAGGCGTCATATTCCAAACACGAAAGGAAATAGATAAATGACACACCACATGACCTAATGGCCAAGAAACTACCCAAGTACTCAGATTTCTTTGGTTGCCGTATAAACAATGCTCTATAAACCCGGCCAGTCATTCTGGGCTTGCATTGTCTGATCGGACTGGTCAACTCTTCCATACTCTTCTCCTTTTTGAGCTTTCTCTGGTCGGTATCTGAGGAAGGTCCCGCAATTTTACCAGACTTCCTCAAAGGGCTCGGAGCATTCTTCCTCTCCATTCTCTCTGACTTTCTGGCAACTGAATAAGTCGAGGGAATTTGTTTTTCTGGTCTCTCTGTAGTGTTAAATTGCAAAGAAGCAGGTTTCTTTGATGGTGCTTCCTGAACAGTCCTCTCCTTGGAGGAATTACTCTCATCTTTCTTCCCCTTGTCCGAAGAAAATGTGTCCTTTGCCATTAGTTCAACTACAGATCAAGAAGACGAAAAGAAATTAACCAAAACCAAGGCGACCTGCCTCAAGCAATGTTCCCACCAATTTACACACACTCAAATCTCTCAAGAGACTTCACTGGATAGAAACCCTACCACAACACAACACGATCAAGACCGTACTTTTACTTCTAAATTAACACTACACTGATGTGATCCGCCTTGCAAAACGCCCAAATCCAACGCGAGTTTCCCAGAAAACCCTCACACTCGGTGAAGCGATTCTAAGGCATGGGAGACAACCCCTAATCATCTAATTCCTCCTCATCGGAAAGGACGAAGACCCACTTGCGTGAGAGAATCCCGACTCAAATTCACTCGGAAAGAGAGATTTCACAGAGAGGGAGAGGGCGAGAAGATCGACGAACATGCTTCAGGCAGAGCGCGTCAAGAAAGCGAAACAGAAGGGACGAAGAGACAGAAAGAGAACCGACCTTTTTTTCCGACCGAGAAAAGAAGCCACGGCGAGCGAGCGAGCGAGAGAGAGAGATAGAGAGGAGAGCGAGAGCGAGAGAGAGAAAGAGAGAGCTCCGGTGAAAGGCTAACCGGAAGGGCGAAAGAGTGGGAACGAACAGAGAATGGTGTCTGGTTAAACCTCTCAGTGTAATTAATAAATAATTAATTGTGATATAAATATGCTATATATATATTCTATACATAGGTGTTTCGACTACCTATTATAAATAGATTTAAATATCCTTTTAACGATTGTTTAATAGGTTTCAAACATGATTTTATTGAATTAAGTAAATATTTAAAGAAGTTTTAAAGACTTCTAATTAAGTAAATCAATATACAGTTGAATATACTGTTAAAAAGAAAATATACGGCCATTATTTTAATTATACAAATTTTGTATCTTACAAAAATAACATTTTTTAAACAATTCCACGTAATAAAACGTCAAAACATGAACAAGTCTGTAATAGAAACATATGAATTTTAGATTAAAAAAATCTATAAAATACATAATTCGCATTATTACAAATGTCACTGATACGACGTAGTCACTCGGATTCAGCATTTATTTTCATAAAGTAATGACAAATACAAAAAAACTTAACGGCCAAACAAAAGCCTTTTTCCTAGTAATATGTAATGTTTATTTAAAAATAAATAAACTATTTTGATTTTTTTTATAAAAAAAATTTTCATTCGGATTCTTGTCTTGGTTTGAACAGGTAGACGTTGCGCTTATTCTTTGGTTGAACCGGCCTCGCATTAGAATTCGATTGCTGCAATAGAAATTAAGAATAGATATTATGTAATAAGTATAATACCCACATGTATATATATATATCACGTACATTCTAGTATACATATTATATATATATAATATGCACTTATTATTCAAGATAGGGGTAAACGTTTCGGATTTCAAATCGGAATTTTAGTGATTCCGTTCGAGAACAGTTCATTCTGTATTCTAAAATTTATACCAAATTAGTGCCGTATATTATTCGGTTCGGTTCGGTTTCAGTTTCGGTGCGGTTCAGTTTCGGTTTTTGTTTAAAAAAATTAGATTTTCTTAAGAAAATTTCGGTTTTTTCAGAATTTTATAAAATTCAATTCGGTTCGGTTCTATTCTATAAAAATTGTACCGTTTGGGAATTTTGAACGGTACGATTTTAGAAAAATACCGAAATTTTCTGTTCGGAACCGAAAGGAAACGTCCACCCTAATTCAAGATGTGAAGTACATATTATTCCCTTTATTTTTTTATTAAATATCGTTTTAGAAATTCTTTAGTTATCATTTTAAAATTTTTTAAATAATTTTTAATAAAAATCTCCAATTTTATCCTTAATTAAAAATATCATATTTAAATAGAGTATGAGTGACAATATGATTTAATAAGGGTATATATAACTTTTTAAAAAAATTTAAAATTATGAAAAAACCCAAAACGAAATTTATATCGGAACGGACCGAGTACATAACAAGTACTTACGTCATGGACAGCCACCCGAAGCAGCCTTAATTGTTCTCTTGTGACAGTCCTCACCTGAAAATCTCGTAAAATAATAATAATAAATGAAGAAGGTATATCAAATGATAGCAGCCATCGTTATAAATTGTGGGCATTAATTAATTATGTGAAAACGAAATGATAATTATACCTTTCGAAGGACGGTCCAAAGAACATTTTGTGTACAAGGGGGGGTGGTAAGTGACCCAATGTATTGATAATATTTTCTGCTCACGAGTTTGACTTTTCTCGCATCGATGACTCCGATATTATTCTCGCCCTCGTGTTCATCAGAAACAGCCCTCAATTCCTTCTCCAACTGCATAAACCAACAAAGATAAAATTAATTACAGAAATTAATCAAATTATATAGAAATAGTAATGAATAGTGATTATGATAAATGTTGATTAAAGAGATTAATTATTATTGTTATTATTATTATTAATCACCGAGCCGAGAAAACCGTCCGGTCTCCCGATCTTGTATAAGACAGTAACGACAGCGAGACTTCCGTTTTTGCTCTCGTGAACCATGTGCAGCTCAAGAGCAAACCTGCAAAATTATTTTTATAATTTTCATAAAAATATTTAATACATAGTCATGCATATATATGTGCAGTGATGTATGGATAAAGATGAAAATCTAATAATCATCTAAAAAAAAAAAAAGAATATGGTACATCTGAGTTGAGGTTTCATATATATAATCGTGAATGTGCAGCTATCATGTGTGTGTATATCATGGAAATTGAATGATACATGACAACGAATTTAACGGAAAACATCTATGTTATATATCTAATTGGAGGGTCATGCTATAAATGATCTTGCATATACATATATATATATATATATATATATATATGTGTGTGTGTGTGTGTACCTTTTGCCATTGATAGTGTGTTCAGAGGGTGAATGCCAGTGAAGCTGTCCTAGTTCATATTGCATGTCATTGATCTCAATGCTTCCCGCTCCATGTTCGAATTTCAACTGCCACAATATCACGTTAATATATACATGCATTTGATTTCGGCATATACATACATACATATATATTTATATATATGTGGATAGTGAAATACCATCATGTCATGGCCTCTGTTCTTGAGAACGGCATTAGAGGGATGATAATCTTCATTAAGCATTCCGGTATTTGAAACAAGCCTAACTCTGTCGTGGAAAAGATCGATAGGGGATTGCATTTTCCCTTCTCCGCACAATTTCCATTCCGGCTTCAGCTTCCCCCAATTCTTCGGCCCCTTCGCCCCGTTCTTCTCGTAGTCGAATTCATGTTCATCCTCTACACACACAAAAAAAAACCGTAAATACGGATAAAGAGCCGAAATCATTCGAAACGTGAAACGTTATAGAAATTTATGGAAATTGAATATTAACAACATATGGGTTAATCAAAATCAATATACATGCATGTGTACGGTTGATCAAAACCCTAATTGACAAGATGTGAATAAGCTTACCGACTTCTCCGCCACTTGATGCTGCATTCATACGGGAAACAGCGGCGGCGCTTACGAAGAGAAGGAAGAATATGCATCGGATTGATGATTTCTCCATTTTTTTTTTGTATATATATATATATATATGTGTGTGTGTGTGTGTGTTCGTATAAGTGAGAGATGAAAATGTTTTTTGCTTTATAAAATGCGAAGGAAGCCAAGTTCTTGTGATACATATAAATACTTACATATATATATATATATATATAGACAAATACAAAAAAACTTAACGGCCAAACAAAAGCCTTTTTCCTAGTAATATGTAATGTTTATTTAAAAATAAATAAACTATTTTGATTTTTTTTATAAAAAAAATTTTCATTCGGATTCTTGTCTTGGTTTGAACAGGTAGACGTTGCGCTTATTCTTTGGTTGAACCGGCCTCGCATTAGAC